AATTTTTTTTTTTTTTTTTTTTGAATAAAGTTTTTCAATTATTATTTTAAATTTGTATGAAAAATAAATCCTAGAATTAAATAAATATCTTTGAATACGCTTATATATAAAATAATAATTTATTGAATAAAAAGTTAACTTTGCTGTAACTCTTTCCTCAAATTTAACTTCATATATGAATATTCTCAAATAATTTAATACCTACAGTTATAAATCTACTGTATTAATTATACGTGTAATGTTCAATATAAATTATTTATAAGAAAATTCCCTTACATAATGGATAATAATAATTCATGATAGGGCAAGGAACAAGAACAACACGACAATCAAGTGAATTTTTGAAACGAGATCTCGCTATTATTTATATAGGATATCCTGTTTCTGAATAATTACGAATTGTAACAGGACTAAAATCACTGTGCAAAACAATACAGACGTTGAAACGATGTTTTCTCTAAAAATAAAGATCTCAAAGCTTATTTGCCGGAAGCTATACGTCCCCGGATCTTCCTATCAGATTCATCTATGATATAAAGCACTCAGCATGAACGGATACCCATTCAAATGACCAATGAATGTTGGATAACGATGGTGAAACTACGTGTATCCGTTGTTTTAATATTGCTCGTGTCTGTCAACTTGGTGGAACCGCTAGTACAGGAAGGTTTATCTAAATTTTTAGGATCTATAACTGGCATTAAAAAGTACCTTTCTTCGCAATAATAATCAATTTTTATATAATAAATCGATCGATTCATCAATTTTGTAAATTTAACCCGTATGAATTGTAGTGTGAGGATTCCTGAATTATTGAATCAATTGTGCAATCAATCGCAAGGATCAAATACAACTCGTCGAGATGCGTGTTACGGATGCTTCTTCAGGGCTACCAGTCAAACCCTTGGATACTCTTTATTAATGGCTATCTCGAATTGTGCCGATATTTATCTCAATAATACCGATTATGGCCACTGTCAACAATACTTGAGAGTAAGTTATACGAAATTTTTATCTATCAAATTTTTTATCGATTATTTATTTTTATGTTTGCAACAGAACGCTACGAGCATAATGAATTCAAGAACGAGTGTTACGACGATATATTGCTCGTTCCTCGAATGCGTTCGTCAAGTAAATAAGGATACTTTGGTGAGTAGATCGTACAATTTTTTTTGCGAAATACTTTAAAATATTTTTTGCATGCTTCGAACAGATAGAAGACAAAACGATCTTGCACTTGTTATTTTATTCAAATAATTTGTATAGAAATGTAAAGAAAAAGCAATTGTAAATAGGATGCACGAGTTAAACCAAGAACAACATCAAACCTGAGGACTTCCAGAAAAGTATCAATATTTTATTTTAAGTTATACAAGAAATTTGTGAATGCTGTTTGCATCATACGTGAACGGAATATAGAATCGAATACCGTAAGGCCAGGAGCTGAACCTATCGATCCTAGACAATTGAAAATTAAATCACAAAATTTTACTGTTTCTAAACAACCGAATTGTACATAGATACACTTATACGATGAATTTGTACATATCGCTTGATTCAAAATCCCTACGAAATAGTAAGTATATGTATATTTTACTTTTGTATATATGTATTATTATTGTAATTTTGTTATATGTACTAACTTAAATGTGGAATGCAATATTAAACATTCAATTGGATGTTTTCTACTCTCTCATTCTATGATTAATCACTATTCTTTTACATCGTTCACACATCCATATACAATCATCTTTCTCTTTAACAATCTTGCATTGGATCTATCACATTTTACCTATTTACATTGTCTATAGTCCACGATTGTCTTTATAATACACTGAACTGCTAAACAGCACTGAAAATTCAATTCTCAACGAATACAAAAATGTAACTGTAAATAAAAAAATGTAATTTTTCGTCTTGGCTAGAATAGAGAAATCTAGAATCAATCCTGTAAATATAGTGTTGCAAATAACGAAAAATCTAACGATAAATAATGTAAACGATAAAAGATGCTTTTTAAAAATTAGAAAATTGCATTTATATTGAATTCTTCGATTTACCGATATAAAAAGCGAGTCTCGAGCAAAAGCGATCGTTCATCGACAAATATTTCGCACAGCTCAGGGAATGCGTCGGCGAAGCCATAAGAATGTCCCCCAATTTCAACTTGACGGACGTGAAATTAGCCCAATTATACGTGAACACGACCGCGTGTGTGCTGGCGAAAACACGTTGCTCTCAAATGAATCCGATAACCGGAGAATTTCAAGAAGACGATCTGGCCAATAAGCTGAACATACCCACGGTCAACGCGGTGCTGGTCAACACGAATTACGACATCAACATCGTACAGCTACCATTCCATTCCAGTTCCATCGACGTTTGCGCAAAATATAGAAACTACGAGCAGGCCAGCTGGCCAACGATCATGTGTTGATTGAAATTTTCTCGTTTAGCATGGCCTAGAAACGGTGGCCAACCATCATCAATTTACAATTATACATACGGCATTAACCTATTTATAATATCGTATTGTTCTAGAGATAGATCATTGGATCGAAACTTTGAAACTCTTTTTACTATTTTTATATTATAGTTCGAAACTATAGAAGTACTCGATCGAATAATTTATGATAATACTGTTACGAATATGAATTTTATTTGATTAATAATGATTCAACCGAAATCATGCGTTCAGATTTTAATTTCATTATTTTATTACGATAGTTTGTAGGGAAAACACGATTATCAATTCTCCATATTATGAACATCAGATTACATGTTACAAACACGATGGAAAAAAATAATAAAAATCAAATTATATATCATCGACTAATAACCTCAGCAATCAATGCCTAAATAACGAATTAATAACAAACAATATAATAACGTCCATTGTACGACAAAAAACGATATTCTAAAATCGAAAGTACAGAGTACGACGCGCTAAAACGAATGTGACGATCCTTCAGAAACCGTGACTGACTTAATCTCGTGAGAGTCGTAATAACCGCGCGAAAGAATGTACGAATAGCGGTGTAAATGGATAAACGTATCGTAGCCGGTTCATCGACGCCAAGTACCGAATGCGGACATTAAAAGAACGTTTACGATATTACTTATCTCGTAGAGTGATCGTAACGAAGCGGCCAATAAACAAATTTACGACAAATCGTACGGTAGAAAAAGGTGAAACGACTACGTCGTTCCATCGTACAAGCCGAGTTATATCAGTATAACACGAAATAAGAAATATCTTTTCAAAGACATAAATTCCGATTCTGAGATGAGCCAAAGATGAATTTCAGATACATTTTGATACATTCGAATCAAGATTGCTATTATTATCGTTAATTTTGAATTCTTTGATCCAAGAGGAGGGCAATAATTAGATGTTATAGAAGTTCGTTTATATGAAATTGTCAGGGGACAAGAAACTTCGTACAACCAGGTCGTTTTAATAGGAATTTACCCAGTCCTTCTCACCAAGTATGATATTTCGCTCAGTAAACAGAAGTTCATGTTAATATGAGAGGATTCCACGAAACATTTTCACTTAAATACATAATAACGTATCTACGGCAAACACGATAACTGCGTAATGCTTACCAAATTAATTCTTCATTTATTCAGTAACAGAGAATAAAATATATGTTATATTATAGGAACGTTTACATAATTGTAGGGACGAATCACAGTTATTCGAGTAATAAGATTTCACTTAAACTTCAAATAATCAAGCACTATTAAAATTTCGTCCAAACGAGCTTTATTAAATATATTTACTGGAAAACGATAGCTAGAACAAATATGCATCATATCATATGCCAACGCAAACCAAAATTCATTTTAGAATTTGATCCGACTTTATGTTTCTCTCTTTCCAATCATTAAATAGAAAAATACCATTTCCCCTTTGACAAACATTTTTGTATCGCAAATTTTTTCGAAAACCAAACTACGATGACAATAATCATTCAAACTCGTGTTTCTTGAAAACTTATAAACCCGTATTAATTCACTTCTAAATAAATACCATCTTCTCGCAGATGAATTAAAGAAAAAGTGTATTTCTAAGGCTAATCTCAGAAATCTACAAAGCACTCATCCTTTTTTTTCTTTCACTCTCGCTTCTGGACACAGGAAAAAAAAAACTAATCCTACTTTTTACCTTTCGTATCTCTCAGACATCCCGAATCGAATGAAATTGGTACTCTCCAAACACCTCTAATCATCAACAAGTTAAGCCAATAGCGATTCCGCGCGCGACAGCAGCCACCGTACCCCCCGGCAAATATTCGACGGTAATCGGATATTAAAAGAATCCGGGGTGGTATCGAAGAAAAGAGGAGGATAAAAAGAAGAAAGCCCATAGAACGTTTCCCTATCTGTTTGCCAAGGTGAAACTCCTCCGGTTAATTCTTTCGAGACTGGGGACACAGGGGAGTGCAGTTGGGAAAGAATCGAGGGATCGATTCCGCGACATCGGTGTGCACTCATGTACTTATGAGAGAGGACGAAAGCGAAACGACGCCGAAAGAACGGGTAATGGGAGGGGAAGGAGGCGGCTGCGGGGGCGGAAGAGAATGGAGAACGGAGAAAAGAAGCAACGAAGATGAAGGGAAGATCGGTCCATTGCACAGAAGCGACGCTCCACTTAGCATCTTCCTCGAAATAATTTGAAATATGCAAATACCATTGGTGCACACGCGCTCGCGTGTCGGGACACGCGGCATCGGGGGATGTGTGCGTGCACGACCCGCCACGGCCATGTTTGCACGCTCTGTGTGTATCACGAAAGAGGAGAAGGAGAGGCCAAGATCCGAGGGAGAAGACAACGTATATTCCGGTGGCTTACGGTTCAGTTCTCTTGGAGCCAATCTAACTTAACATGCAGATGCAGTACGTGGAATCGTAGAGGCGACAGAGAGAGAAAGAGCTGGGGAAAAGAGGATAGAGATGGAAAGAAAATCGGAGGGGAGGGAGAGAAAGAGAGAGAGAGAGAGAGAGTCCGTCCCTGTGAGTCATTCTGTGGCGATAGTACCTTTTCCGTATGATCATTCACCGTTACCGCCTTTAATGTCCTCGCGATTCGAAACATCCTTTTCAAGAACGGGACGTGATTTTAATGAATAAATCGATCGACCGCTATCTCGGACACGGATCGATAAAAATTAGCCGAATGGCATGGATCGGTGAATCGTGGGGAAAAAAGAAGAAACGCGGGTCTTATTAAGAGAAGATATAAGAAAACGAGGACCTGGCATTTCGTTCTTGGAAAGGAAGGAGGAGGTAGTATCATCCGATATTTCGCGAAATTTCTCAACAGCGGCAATCGATCCTGACACGAGGCGAACTCACGCAAGTGCATCGTTGATTAAATTTACAAGACCGTGAGGTTATACAGCCATAAGTAATATAATCTGATCTTGTAAAGAGGCCAGAGGGAGGGGAGGGAGTTGACTACCCTGGCTGGATTCAGAAACACGGTTGATACCGTAGTAGATCTTGATAAAGCGTGTATTCCTCTCCAGATTAAAAAAATCCTTTCGCCGATCTATCTTGCGAAAAAAAATCTTGAAATTTTGAAACGAAAATTTCGATTTTAACAACGTTAGAGGCATCAAATTTATATTCTCTTTACGAACGAAGAAATAAAATCGCGTCGCGAGATGCCGAATCAAGATCCTTATGAATTCGTGCACGGATCGTCTTGTGGCAATCTTTTCGGAATATTCCGACTAAATCTTTTTTACGTTAAAAGTTTGCTATACAAGGAAACGTGACCCTCGTTTACGAGCGCCATACCATTTATGACGGATTATAACTTTATATCGAATCGTGTCTCTTTCGCTACAAGTTTAACAAAGTGTCCATTTGATAAACAGGGAGTTACTTTCTGTAATTGACTGGTAGCAATTAAACGCGTCCATCGTCACGTAGAATATCAATCTGGAAACGGTACACTAATATAGCGAACAAATAGCAATTCCATTACACGAACAAAGCTCTAACGTCATCGGTTAAAACCACGCAGCATACATTTCTCATCAGTCACACAAGATTAAGTTTGCGTGGAAGTTGCTGCACCTACGTAACAGAAAGGCCGAGCATCGTTTCTTCTGCTGTTTCTGGAGATTATCTCAAATAGCATAACGGATGACTATTCCATAAAAAGATCAAAATAAATAATAATACGAGATGGAGGAACGCAAAAATTTGAAGAATTTTTGCTACGCAAGAAAATATATTCATATTTACAAATACCTTTGAAACATTTATACTTTCTCCTTTAAAATATCTTATCCAGCGTATTCTTTTTTTTTTTTTAAGATTCTTCGAGATTGAAACATTTTATGTATCAAGTAAATATTAGAAAACTTTTAGAAATTATAAAAATATTTAAGAATAATTTCCCCTTTAAAAAACCTGAGATTTCAAACAACTTATATAACGATTCTCTACAATAAAATAAATTTTCATCTTTCCTATACACATAAATATCAAATTTCTCGGATTGTTCGTTCAACATGACAGAACGCACAGATTTTTTTCACGAAAAAAATTCCAATCAATCAATTTTCTCTCCATCCATTTTAACACCAATCTATCTAATTTTCTCGCGATTCACGCTATATAAAATTCCATAAAATTAGCATATCCGAAAAGGAAAAGCAAGGAATGGTGAAAAGATCGTCACCCTCCCCTCTCATTTACTTTGAACTTCCGCTCGTCGGGATTTCCGGGACTCGAAACGGAATGCACGCGCGGCGAGCAAACTGGATCGGTTTACAGAGCGAGGACGAGAGGAGCGCCGCGCGTCGTTTTCACGTGAATCATGCGGGCCGCGATCGGAGCGTGTTGCGCAAGCAGCCTCCTCATCGCGAAATGCGGAGGCGTTGCATTAAAAGCGTGCCGCGACGCGGCTTGGCGCGGAAAACAAAAACAAGGAGAGGAGTCACCGCGTGGACACGTCATCGAGGCGCGGCACACGCGAAACCAGGACAAACCGCGTGCCTCTTCGAGCCGTGATCCCATCTGGCCCGGTTTCTTACACCATCCTGGACATTCTTGGGTTCTTAACGAGAACACCAGTGTCGCGAAACTGTTGATTCACGCGAGGTGTGTCCGAAGAGTAATGAGATCGATTCTCCATTTCGCTTTCGTGTAAAACGCGTATCTATGATGAATGAAATTTGGCAATAAATTTTACAAGACTGCGTATCGTTGAATGAAGAGTAACACGACGGACTAATGTTATGCAATTTCTTGTGGTTTCAAGCTTCCATATTTTCTTCTTCTCAAAAGTCAAAAAACTATCTCAAATTTTGAAGCAGTGGATCGATTAAAAAAAAAGATACACAGAATCATGAAGAGTCGATTGGAGCTCCGTCACGTCCTATTCTCTTTGATTTTTGCTCAAAATCGCGAAAAATTTTATTGCATATTATAGAAATATTAAATATCTCTTCAAAAGTAAATGAAAATTAACGAAACGATTGGATTACTAGTACATAGAACTTATCTAGATCTGTCGAG